CATATAGTTTTGTTTGTTAAATTAGATGATTAAAAGTTAGTTAATATTAACTAAATTTACTACTTACTTGCTCAGCAAGTAAACTTGTTAGAAAATGGAAATTGAGTTATAAAGACATATTTCCTATTGTATTATAATACATCAATCATAATACAATTCATTTTACAATTTTTCTTTATTAACTCTCTCCCTTTCATGACTTGCTTAAGTTGTAAAGAAACTTGTGACACTTGGTCTTGATCTAGCATAATTTTTGGATATTTTACAATTTTTCTTTATTAACTCTCTCCCTTTCATGACTTGCTTAAATTGTAAAGAAACTTGTGACACTTGGTCTTGATCTAGCATAATTTATTCAAAATTAGTTTAAAAATTCATTAACTTAACTTTAAGCATTAAGAAATTATTTTATTGGTAAATTCTCATTTTCTAACAAGAATCTTTCCAGAAGAAAATAGTGTCCAAATGAATCCTCTAGTAAAAAGAAATATTGATTACTTGAAGTAAACTTGTTAGGAAATGGGAATTGAGTTATAAAGACATATTCCCTAATGTATTATAATACATCAACCATAATACAATTTAATTTACAATTTTTCTTTATTAATTCTCTCCCTTTCATGAGTTGCTTAAGTTGTAAGGAAACTTGTGACACTTGGACTTGATCTAACATAACTAGCATACTTTATCCAAAATTATTTTAAAAGTTCATTAACTTAACTTTAAACATTAAGAAATTATTTTATTGGTAAATTCTCATTTCACCTCCCACATATATCAGAGGTTTTTCAAGTAATCAATATTTCCTTTTACTAGAGGATTCATTTGAAAACTATTTTCTTTTGAAAAGATTCTTCTAGGACTTAATATATTTAAAGACCGTGTCATTCTCCTTCCTCATTATATTATCTTACAATTTTATATTTTAAATCTCCCAAAAATTATTAGAAATAATTCATATTCAGTAGTGATATTAGTTTGGTTAAGCTTAAACTAACTAGTGTAGATTAGCATTTTGCCTACGTGAAATTATTGTTTGTGTATATAAGTAAGTAGTATGCTTAGTCATTAAGTAATGAGTTGTAATCATTCACTGTAACTGTTTTTTGTAAGACTAGTAGAAGTTTGTTATTTTTATCTCTTCTCTATCTTCCTTCATATTCATCTTCTTCATCTTGCTCACTAAAAATTAGTATCTAGAGCTCTAGTTCAGATCCATAGGGAAGCGTAAGGAAACACGAGTGAACTGTGATGTGTTATGTGATTGATTGCATTTCCTGAATTCTTGTTGAGTTTTTTGATCGGAATAGTAACAGAATCACATTTCTTGATTCTACAGGATTGGGAAGCACTAGTGTTTGGTGAGATATGAGTGAACTGTACAAGGTTGAAGATGAACATAAACGGTAATCTGAGTACTAAGTTATCAGTGTTCGATATTTAGAACTGGAATCGGTGGATGATTCAGATGTGTGTGTTGTTTGGATCAAGATGTTCTTGATCTCGTCAATGATGGTTATGTTCTGGTTGCACTTCCAACAAATGCAATTTATATGCAGAGGAATGCTCGGCGTGATCTGAGGAAGAAGAATCATAAGGCATTTTTCTACATTCATCAGTGTGTGGTTGTGAATGTGTTTGAGAAGATCGTTAATTGACGAAGACGAAGGTCGTGTGGGACACACTGGTACGATGTTACTGTAGTGATGCATCAACGAAGAAGGTGAAGCTTCAGTATCTATGTAAGTAGCATGAGAATCACAGCATGAAGAATAATGAGAATGTACCTGACTACATCTCTAGAGTGATTCTTATCACAAATGAGATGAGGTCGTGTGGAGAAAATCTCTCTGATGAAAGGATCATTAAGAAGGTACTTAGATATCTTACTTCTCAGTTTGATTACATTGTGATATAAATTGAACATTCTAAGGATCTTAGCACCATGAGAATTGAAGAGTTGTAAAGCAGTTTAGAGGCATAAAAGTTGCATTTGTCTGAGAGTAACTTTGAAAGAGAGGTAGAGCAACATGCTCTGAAAGTAGCTTCTGGTAAGAAATATCAGAAGCAATCTTGGTCAGAAGCCAGGAAAAGATCTTATGGTGTTCAGAAGTCAGAAACCTCAACTTCTGAAAGGCATAAGAGTGCTCATAAGGGAAAAGAGGAGTATGACAAGAGGGACGTTTGGTGCTACTGTTCTAATAAGTTTGGTTACTTCGCTGCTGATTGTTGGTCAAATAAGGAAAGGAAGTCCGAAGAAGTAAACGTAGCCAGAGGAGATTCTGATGATGAATTTGTGATATTGATGGCTTCTGAGTCTGATAGTTTGTCTTTGGAAGACTGGTGGTACATGGACACGGGTTGTTCAAATCACCTTACTAAAATTAAGAAATGACTAGTTGATTTTGACTTTAAAAAGAGGACAAAGATCAAATGTGTTGATGATAATACCTCAACGTTGAAGGTATATAAATGTCATAGTAGTTCTGAATAATGGTAAAACAACATTTATTCAGAATGTGTGGCATGTTCCTGGCATGAAAAGAAATCTTATGAGTGTAGGCCAATTAATTGAGAAAGGATTTTCAGTTACCATGAAGGACAATCTTTTGAAGTTGTATGACTCTAATTATAAGTTGATTATGAAGTCAGAATAAGGAAGGAATATAACATTCAAAGTGAATGTTAAAATTGTATACTCTGAATGTCTTAGTGCAACAAGTGTTGTGAAGGAAAGTGAGATTTGGCACAAAAGATTTGGTCATTTGAAATTCAAAAACTTAGGTCATCTGAACTTGAAGAAGTTGGTACATGGAATTCCTGCAATTAAGAAGTCAGAGAAGTCATACAATAGGTGCATGAGAGGGAAGCAACCAATATCATTTGCATTTTAAATGCCTCCAAGAGCAAAGCATGCTTTGAGTGTGGTGCATTATAATGTGTGTGGATCATTTCTAGTACCTTCACTTAGAGGAAATAAATACTTTGTGTCATTTGTGGATGAGTTCACAAGAATGACGTTGGCATCCCTTATGAAGTTCAAACATGAGGTGTTTGCTGAATTTAAGAAATTCATAGTCAAGGTTGGGAATTAGAGTGGTCAGACTCTGAAGATTATCAATACTGATGGTGGAGGTGAGTATAACTCTACAGAATTCAGAAACTTCTGTGAGGAGAATGGAATTGAGCATGAGGTGACTGATCCATACACTCTTCAACACAATGGTCTTGTTGAAAAAAGAAACCGAACTTTGCTTGATATGGCGAGGAGCATGTTGAAGGAGAAGAAGTTCTCTTACACCTTGTGGGGGAGAAGTTGTTTCCACTGCAACATATGTGCTCGACATGTGTCCAACCAAGAAGCTGAAGAAAATTGTTCCTTTAGAAAAACGGGTTGGGGATAAACAAAGTGTGAACCATTTGAAGTTGTTTGATTTTGTATGCTACAAACATGTTCCAGATGCTAAGAGAAGGAAGTTTGATGGCAGAAGCAAGGTTATGTTGCTTGTAGGGTACCATAGTCGAAGTGCTTATAGGGGTATATTGAGATATTAGATATAATCTAAGTTGAATTGTATGACTCAAGTCCAAAGCTAATTAGAGTTAAGGGTTTGTTATTTAATTTGTTATTTTACTTAGTAATCAAGTCACTTTGGTGTAAATAAATAGACACTTTATAATTCAGTTTTATTTATTTAATAATATTAATTTTTATTTATTTATTCTCTTTTTTTCTCTCCTCACTAAAAGTGTCTCACGCGCTAACAAAATATCCTTCCAAACATTCAATAATGATTCTTTCATAAATATTTTGTATTGTTATTTAAAGAAAAATGAAAAGATACACTAAAGAAAAAATATATAAAATTATATTATCTATAATTTGTATTATAAATTGGAAAGACAATGAAATTGATGGTGTTGCATTTATTTCAAATAATGGTATTCTCTAAAAATAAAAATAAAAGTTCTACATTATTGTATTTGTTATAATGTTGATGTAGCATATGCTGATATGCATGCCAATTAAGCCAACAATTATGTTATTTTTTCACAAAGGTATCATTCTTTTATCGTTAAATATGTTTAATTTTAATATAAACAACTAATTGACATTTTTTTGGGCGATTCAGACAATTGATTAGCTTCTAAATACACTGCATTTGTCTCTTCATTTTAGGTCCGCTTTAGGAAAATCTTATCATTAAATTTAAATCATTTTGAATTTGAAATATTAAATACAGTATATTTATTATTTTTGTACAAATACATCTTTTATTGTTACTACTACTTTATTTTAGAAAGTATTAGTGTTGCACACATTTATACCAACGAAAAAGTATTTTAGTAATATCGAATTATCTGTATACACAAGAAAATAAAAATAATATCAATAAACAAAATATATACTTTAAACCTACTACCTTTTTTTAATAAAGGAGAAAATCAGAATTGAGTTTCCAAATTACCTATAATTTTGCAGTTGAAAATTGGCCTAAGAAAATCTTAATTTGGTGCAATGAGTATTTTCGGCATGAAAGTAAATACTATGAGAAGCTTGGTGAAAGGATAATCAAGTATCCTTTTCTCTTAATCAAAATGAACGAAACAATAAAAAAAAATAAAAAATAAAAAAATAATAATAATAATAATAAGTTGAGAACTTGAGATTAATCAAACAACTGAGATTTTGCAAGAGGCAATAGTGGCTGTGGATCCAGCTTTAAACTTCCTATCATGTTCATTAAAAGCTTTCATTTCTATTACCTTTCCAATAAACGAAGGTTCTCCCTAATGTTCTTAAACTTAGGGATGGAACTGTATTGTCCCAAATAGCCTGACAGCATGACAGCTCTATGTAAAATCTCAAAATTTGTATAATGAATCAGCATATTTACTGGTAGTCTATAAATTTGAACGATTTCTGGATGGACCAATAGACATGTACATGTTTCGAAACACCAGTAACTGCGGATGATTGTTGATGAGACAGCTGAGTATCACTCCTCAATATCCTCAAAGGCCATTGGTTTTGCAAAGGCAAGTTTCCTGTAAATCAAAAAAATGACAAATTAAATTGACATTATATAAACCCTCAGATGTTAGGAATCAACTATTAGCAAACATATCCAACAACACTCATCATCTATGCATACTTATGAATGTTTTAGGATACCTTTGAGAGAGATGTTTCTCCTCGGATAACGCCTTATCCAGTCTCTCTTCAAATGGCGTTGCATGCCATTTTACTGTCTGATCCTGTAAACAATCAGCAAAACTAAGATAAGGAATATTTATGTTTAAAAGCTCTTTCAAATAAGGTGTAATGATTACAAGTCATACCTCCTTGTACTTCTTGGTCGTGTTTGGTATTCCATTGACTTCAGGCCTCTTCGGAGAAACAAAATGAGAATCCTCATCTTCATTCAATTGAGCAGGAACCACCCCAATATTAGGCGTGTCAGCAGATTGCAGGATCTCAAAATCAGCACCAGACTCCATTTCCCAGTTTCCCTCTTCCATATTGATTGATGCAGGTTCTAACCAAGAAGATAAACTTGCTTCCAGCTTATGTTCTTGCTCGACTGAAACACCCAGCTCACTTGAATCGTGCTCGGGGTTAAAACCTTGCACTTCAAGTAACTTGGTCAGCAGGAGATTCTCGCCAGCATTGCAATTTGTATAGACAAATTGTGACCGAACACGACGCTTACCATCGCATAGGTCATCTAATGAGGTTGGGTATACGGTTCCAGGTGTTTGCATCTCATCAAACAACTTCAACGGGGTAGGATCAGGTGATTGATTACTTGCAGTTTGGCTTTTCAGTGACTTGTTTTTCTGCACATCACCATCAACTGGCGGGCTTTGATATGATACTAGATCATTCCCAGATTCAAAGCGCACCGATTTGTTTTTCTTCTGAGTCTCGGTGCCTGTCCAAGCTTCATTCTTTCTAGTCTTATATGCAGTATGAGGACTCCTAGTCCAACTTCCTTCCACATAGTCAGGAGAGTCATATTGAGGGTCCTGTGCCTTGAAGACAAAGCTGCAAAAGAAATTAAACTAAGATCTCAGGTTCTGGTTATATATCTTCTATGTAATTTCAGAAATAGACAATTTTAACCACACTCAGTGAAGATACGATATAATATATCCATTTCAAAAACATCAATATGGAAAAGGACAGGGAACAATTTAAAGGGCCCACCTGCTAGGAGTGTGCTCAAAAGAATGGACATCCAGCTGAAGTTTCTCGACAGAAGTATTGGGAAGCCAGGAATGAAACCTTGAAGTGTCGCTATCGCTTTCGCAAGCGGGTGACACTTTCAATTTCGCCGATGTTTCGCGAATTTCAGGAGGCGTTCTTGCTATCGCACCGCAAGCTTGAAGAAACTTTGCCTGCAAAATATGTTAGAAGAACTTTAAAAATGATACTATGATATATAGATAGTTAGATACAACTTTAGGCAATGCATACAAAACAACATATATAACTTGATGATAGCTTTTCCTAAAAAAAACATGACACGGTAATGACTTGTAACTTGTCAAAATTGAAAAAAGAAACCTAACTGAAGGTCATGTTTTAGGTAATGACTTGCATACTGTTAAAGTTACATATCAGTTAACATATTCATTTACCCAAGCTGAAGCCAGGGTTTTATTTCAAATAAAGGTACACAGGACATAATTGAAGTCGCATTATCTGCGATTAAAATCTCATCAAAACTTCAATGCAACTACAATTGAAGTCGCATTGTCTGCGAGTTATATCTCATCGAAACTGCAATGCAACTACAATCGAAGTCGCATTGGCTGCAATTGAAGTCTCATCGAAACTTCAATGAACTACAATCGAAGTCGCATTGTTGGCAATTGAAGTCTCATCAAAACCGCAATGCAACTACAACTGAAGTCGCATTGTCTGCGATTGAAATCTCATTGAAACTTCAATGCAACTACAATTGAAGTTGCATTGTCGGCAATTGAAGTCGCATCGAAACTTCAATGAACTACAATCGAAGTTGCATTGTCTGCAATTGAAGTCTCATCAAAACTGCAATGAACTAAAATCGAAGTCGCATTGTCTGCCATTGAACTCTCATTGAAACTGCAATGCAACTACAAACGAACTCACATTATCTGCAATTGAAGTCTCATCGATCTTATATCATCAATTTCGATTTTCGACACACAACTATAATTTGAGCTAAGACGTAACTCATAATTGTTTTTGATGTCATCGAAACTGCAATGCAACTAAATCAAAGTCACATTGACTGCGATCGAAATCTCATCAATCTTATATCATCGATTTCAACACAACTAAAACTGCTACTGCAACAGCTAATCAAAATCACACTAACAAAAAACATTTACAGAAATCGCTATACCTCATCGTTCAGAGAAACCTCATCAGCAGCATTCCTAGCTGAATCTCCATTCTCTTCAGATAAATCAAAACACAAATCAGCATATAACCACAAAGAAAACTAAAAACGTAACAGCAGAAATACCTTTCCATAACAACGAGCACAAACGATTCTCAGATATCACCGTATCCTGATTCACAAAATCAACATTCCTAAATTAACAACTAATTCCGATTATAAACCTAACATTCATCAAAATTTGCACATACAAAACCTTTATTACATTTTCTTGAAAAAATTCTTGAGAGAGAGAGTTACCGTTGTTGTAGAGGGAGAAGGTGCGGTGGAAACAAGAAGAGGTTCAGGGAGATGATGACGGCTATTATCTCTGAATCCGAAGAAGCACCTCATAGCAGCTTGAACGGAACGGAAGAAGAATCGGATGAGAAAACCTAATCCACACTTCACGAAGCTCAACATTTCGCGATGATTTTCACTGTGATTTTCTGAACCTTTTTTGTTCGTTTCGAAATCGGTGAATGAAAATGGAGCGGAGAAAGAGCGCGTTAAGTGTGAATAAATGGGTTACGTTTTGCACTAATTTGAAGAATGTTTTGAAATTTGAACTCAGAGGGGGAATTAAAATTATCACTGTGATCTTTTTCTTGATGATATGTTATATACTAACGTTTGATTTGAATTTTTTTAATTAATCAGTAAAAAAACTCGACATAACATAATGAATATACGTTATTATACACTAGTCTCAAAATAAAAAAATATACGTTAGTTTGGGGGGAAGATATAAAAAAAAATATACGTTATTATATTTATTATTAATTACTAACATATTCAAATATATTTGTATTTTAGACAAGCGGGAATTTTCTATTTTAGTTATAAATAAATAAGAGGTTAGATAAGATAATATTAAAAATGATAAAATTTGTTATTAATTCAATTCCATTGATTATATTCGAATTTGAAAGAAAATAAAAAATGAAAAACAAAATCTAAAAGAAAACTTTTTGTATGGTCTTTTGGTTTTGCTCCTTTTATAAAAGTATTGTGGGGAAATGAAATGAATAATGGATTATTCATTATTCTTCTCATTTTATAAATTATTATTAAAAAAATTCAAAATGCATATTTTGAAAGTGAAATTAGATGTGAATTGTATTTTTTTTATTTGTTTTTAACTAAAAATTGTGCTTACGGTTAAACAGAAAAGGGGTTAACTTGCAATCTTGTTAGTCAGTACTCCAACATTCATATCAATGAGAGAATGAGAAGTAATGTGAGAGTAAATGTTGATTTGAATAACTGAGAATGACTTGATTTATTTCTTATATATTGAAAGCAATTAAAATAGTCTGTGAAGAGTCAGGTGTGCAGTGCAGATAGTTGTCTGATTGATCTGGACGATGGATGATGTTTTGGGGGGAAAGGTTGTTCGCTTAAGGCGAGAATGGGGGAACACACATTCTTCGCATTTGTTTCCTTCACTTTGCGTTTGCACCTTTCTTCTTTAACATTGTGAGCGGCTCATAACAGTTTTTCCCTAAGCTCTGGTATATGCTTTGCAAAACGAGGATTTTTGCGTTTGACTATCCCGTTTTGTTGAGGTTTGTGAGGGCAAGATGTTTGATGGAGAATACCATTGTGTGACATCAAATTTTGAATTTATTGAAATAAATATTCATGGGCATTGTCACTTCTTAAGGTACGGATAGACACACTGATTTGAGTTCTGATTTCTCGATAAAATTATTCAAAAATAAAAAATAATTTAGATTTATTCTTAATTAAAAATAACCACGTAAAATGTGAAAAATCATCAATATAGATAACAAAATACCTAGACTTAAGAGTAGAGAAAATATGCGAGGGACCCCAAACAAAGTGTGAACTAAAGCAAAATGGACGAAGCTCGTTTATTGACTCGATTGGGAAATTGTCTACAAGTGTATTTTCCTAACTAACACGACTCACAATGTAAATTATATACCTTTGATAAATTTGACACCAGGTTATGTAATTTGGAAATTGGGATGACCTAACTAAGAATGGATAATGAGTGAAGAATCATTGGCTGAGCATGTTTGAGATGACATTAATAGGTAATAAAGGCCTTAACACTCACATCTGACGTCAATCATCTGTTCCGAACTTCAATCCTGCAGGGTAACATTATTGTTAGTGAATATGACACTACAATCAAGAGAACGAGTTAAACAAATGACTGAAAGTAAATTAAATAGACAATTAGGTATGTAGAGGACAGAAGTAACAGAGAGAAAAGGTAGAATTTGAACAGTACTAATCCCTTCGGGTCGGGTTTGGGAACCATTGGGAGAAGTTATAGTAGGTAAGAAACCAAAGGTAAAGAGGGAAGAGAAAATATTTTTATCACCGGTAACATGATCAGACGCACCAGAATCAAGGATCCAAGGTCCAAGAGAAAATAATTGAGATAGAAAAACAGATGAATTATCAGTGTGTTCTACCGTAGAAATAGAATATGAGTTCTTATAATTCTGATACCACCTGACGAAATCATTGTAGTTTGGCATAAAGTTCTGAGGAGTAACCATGAGTATCTTAATAGAGAAAATATCATGTGTTTATCGCCGGACGTGTTGTCACGTGCAATTTAAGTGGCGGCGTGTGAGGCCCACGCGTGAAGACGGAGGTGGCGGATGCAGAGGTTTCTGTCGGTGAAAAAGTGGGGAACGGTCGGATCGGAGGAGGTACTTCTGCTGATAGGTTAAGTTTGTCGGAAGGTCGCTGTGAACAGTAGCGATGACAGCAGATGGCGGCGACAGTGCGGTTATGACCAGAGAATTTTGAAAATTGATGTCAGAATGAGTCACGATAGTGTATGGAAGGCAAACTAAAGTTATGACACGGTTTGCCAAAAATTTCTCATCGGAAGATATTGGATCAATCGGGTAAAGCACGATGAAGGATTATCTCTCAGTAGATTCTGATACGATGTAGAAATACAAGAGACTGAGAGACATTTAAATAAACCAGGTGTTTTGAAAAATATTATAGAGACATTATTATCATTTTATATATATTGTCAAGGATATGAAGGTAATATGAAATATATTAACATTACTACTAATGTTTTGGGAAAGAAGAAAACTTTAGAAAAACTACCAAAATTGCCTTATGGATTACATTATACTTATATACATGCAATTGAATATAATTTAGTAGTAAAAGAAGATTCCAAAATGATGACTTTATAGCATGATCATTTAGGTCACCCTGGTTCAACAATGATGCGTAAAATAGTTGAAAGTATCCATGGTCATCCATTGAAAGGTTTAAAACTTACAAAAAGAGATAAACTATGTGAAGCTTGCTCTCTTGACAAACTAATAACAAAACATTCGTTAGGTAAGATTTAGACAAAATCACTTGCATTTCTTGAAAGAATTCAAGGCGATATATGTGAACCTATCCATCCACCGTTAGGACCATTCAGGTACTTTATGGTATTAATTGATACATCTAGTAGATGGTCATATATATGTTTACTATCAAGTCGTGATATGACATTTGCAAAATTTCTTGCACAAATAATTAAACTAAGGGCTCAATTTCCTGATTACACTATAAAGAAAATTAGACTTGACAATGCTGATGAATTTACATCTGAATCATTTAATAATTATTGCATATCAATTGGAATTACTGTTGAACATCATGTTCCTCGTGTGCATACACAAAGTGGTTTAGCCGAGTCTTTAATCAAACGTCTTCAATATATTGCAAGACCATTAATTAATAAAACTAAACTACCAGTTACCGTTTGGGGTCATGCAATTTTACATGCTGCAACACTCATCCGTCTAAGGCCAAGTGCTAATCATAAAGGTAGTTACCGTTTGGGGTCATACAATTTTACATGCTGCAACACTCGTCCGTCTAAGGCCAAGTGCTAATCATAAAGGTAGTTAACGTTTGGGGTCATGCAATTTTACATGCTGCAACACTCATCCGTCTAAGGTCAAGTGCTAATCATAAACATACACCTTATCAACTTGCAATTGGTAAGGAACCAAATATTTCTCATTTAAAGATATTTGGTTGTGCACTATATATCCTAATATCTCCACCACATAGAACAAAGATGGGACCTTAAAGGAGGTTGGGAATATATGCGGGGTGTGAATCACCTCCTATTATTAGATATCTTGAAACTTTAACATGTGATGTTTTTCAGGCAAGAATGGCTGATTGTCATTTTGACGAAACAAAATTTTCAACACTAGGGGGAAAAAATTAAAAAAAAAATTAGAAAATGAGATAACATGGTCTGTACCCCATTTATTACATTTGTACCCATATAATAAATTATGGGAAGAAAATGTAAAGAAAATTATGCACTTACACGATTTAGCAAATCAATTGCCAGATTCTTTTACTGATTTAAAAAGAGTGACAAATTCACACGTACCAGCTATAAATGTCCTAGTTTGAATTAAGATTTGAAATCTAAATGATGTAGCAAGTACATCTAAGGCACACTTAAAGTGTGGCCGACCTTTGGGATCCAAACACAAAAATCCCCGAAAAAGAAAAGGGATAGAAAAGGTGAATATGATTGAAAGTGATCTTAAAAAGACACTAGACAATAATAAATCCACAATTGAAAAATGTGCTCTCGAAGAAGCACAAGATGATGATAATGAGATTATTGATAATGAAAATGAAAACAAGAATGATCTTGAAATTTCAATTAATTATGTTGATACGGGAACTTTGTGGAACCGAAAAGATATAAATATAGATGAAATATTTTCATTCTACATTGCATGTGAAATTAGAATGAAAATGATGATCCCGAACTAAGAACTATGAATGAATGTCAAAATAGACATGATTGAAAAAACTAGAAGGATGTAATAGATACTGAATTAAATTCTCTTAAAAATTGAAAAGTATTTGGCCTCATTACGACTATACAAAAGATGTGAAACCGATTGGGTATAAGTGGATCTTTGTAGGAAAACAAAATGAGAAAAATGAGATTGTCAAATACAAGGCACGTCTTGTTGCACAAGGTTTTTACCAAAGAGCAGGAATCGATTATGAGGTAACTTATTCTCCTGTTATGGATGTCATTACTTTTTGTTATTTAATTGGTTTATCAGAATTTAACAATATTGATATGTATCTTATGGATGTTGTTACTGCTTATTTGTATGGATCACTTGATATTGATATATACATAAAAATCTTAGAAGGATTTAAAATTTCTGAGACATCAAAACCTAGATAAATGTATGCAATTAAGTTGCAAAGGTCATTGTATGGATTAAAACAATTAGGGTGCATGTGGTATAATAGGCTAAGTGAATATTTGCTCAAAGAAGGTTATGAAAATAATCATATCCGCCCTTGTGTTTTTATAAGAAAAACAATATCCGGTTTTGTAATAATTGTTGTCTACGTTGATGATTTAA